TGATGTTATCTTTTATTTTGCTTTTTGATTTGGCTGATAAATTTTTATGGAAGAATGTTTGGTGGTGATCAGAGTGAAAGAACGAAGTTACTTGTTGAAAGTCGGTTTTTGTTGCCCTGTTGGAAATTCGTCTTGTTTCAGTATATTTTTCGTCTCTTTTCTTCTTTGTTTGTTTGGTTGTCTTTTGAAAAAACTAGTGATTCATGAACTGTGTTCAGATTCAAACTTATTCGCCGTGAATTTTGTTGATACTGGGTGAACTGCACATTTAAAAAAAAGGTGTATAAGATTTTTATGCGTACAAAAGGCTGTAAGTCTAAGGGGAGTGCCCAGTATGTTCAGTTTTGCCTAATTAACTGGCGTAAATTGTACCGTTGCATAATCGGAGCGCCATTTCTCAAAAATTACATCAAAAGTAAGCTGAGAATAGGTTTATATCTTTATTCAATTTCATTTCTGTTTTTACAGGTGTTGATTTGTCAATTCTGACTGCCAAATAAATTAGTTGGAATGAGTAGATTTGAATGAATAATGTCCCTAAGCCGTACAACTCTACTAGAACTATGCAGTTATGTCCAAGGTTGGCTTTCTTTAGTACGGGTCGTTGTTCTGCTTATTTGTTTTTTTCTGTTTACTTTCCAAGTGGTTTTTATTTTTTATTTTCGTTTGAGTATGTACTTTTCTCAATTTTTTTAATTGTTTTTTTGTGTATTAGGCAAAAGAGGGAAATGGATTATGAGAAATTACAGTTACACCGAAAATGAATTGTTGTAATGGTAAAGAACTTTTTATTTCTCAGAATTACAGAAACGGTAGTGGTGATGGTTTTAATTTTACTGTAATTCTTTACTTATTCCAGAGAAATGTGCCACAGTTCTTGGGAATAAGTTTTGGAACTGCCGCTGTGTAATTCCAGCTGATTGCGGGTATAAACCAGATAAATTGGAATCTCGTATATTCGCCTTATCTAAATTTCGTTTTTTTATTCTTAGCGGCAAATCACCTCAATCACTGAAGATTGAACGTTCTTTTCACATACTTTATATCCGCTCTGTTCAAGTAAATGGCGAAAAAGAGGTTAATAGCTTAATTTAAGTAGCTGCTTTACAGGATTTTACAAAATTGGTTAGTTCTGGACTTTTAGGGAATCAAGTGCCATATTATAATTTACTTTTATTATTGTTCCTGAATGTTTTTTTTGACGACAAACGTTGCGTTCTACAGTTTTCTTTCCAGATTTGTTTCGGTTTTAATGAAAATGTTGTTACAAAGCGGAAGGTTATTGTTCATTCGGAAGTGCCTTCGAAGGAGTTAGCGATGCATTTACTGAAGGCATTAAAGCATTACTTCCCTGATTTGAACAAGTCACTCAAGTAATGTTGTTCCTACTTCTCTTCACCAAAACTTCCATTTACTTTTTCTTTAACTTTTTTCTTACAACAAGTCATCTTCTTCCTTAAGGTCGATGATGGAAATCACTCCTTGTGATTATTATGAAAGATTTGAAAGTCTTCCAGTTTCCGTTCCGCTGTTGCCTTGCCGCAGTTTTAGAAGGTCGTATGCTGCTTTATGTGATTATTTTGACCAACCTTTTAGGGAGGAAGTTGTTTGGGTAAGCAGTTTGTTTCCATATTTTTTTGGGTGAGTTTCAGTAACAGATTGTTGCCGAATTCTGTATTATGTGTGATCTTTTTTGATTTTTTGTTTGCAACTGTATTTGTTTGACTGTAAACGTATTTATTCCAGGATATCGAGAAAATTTATGCAAACCATCACTTGCGGGTTCTTAGGCTTGAGGACTTCACCCACTTATTGTCCAGGTCTAACCTATTTGCCCTGCTTGTTTATCTTTTCTTCTGTTAAAGGTGGCAACTAAGAAGTTTCTGTTATAGAGATTTGGTGCCGATTGTAGCTGTGTGTCAGTCTTCTGATTATTTTACTGGAGTTTCCGTTGATGGAACGAAATTGACCCCTGATTTAGTTGAAGTTATTGTAAATGTGATTAAGCGATCTAGAGTATTGAAGACACTCATCTTGCGTAACTGTTCGTTGCCCAGGTATACTTTTAGCTTTAAATATGTTATATTTTTGTTGCAGTAAATCACATTTTGCAGTAACGCAAAAAACATGTACAATATGATTTCAGTTTTGTACATGTACTGCTTTTTTTGAGTATAGATAAACTATTAAAAAAGTATTTCTGAGTCTTCAAAATACGGATTTGTAGGGACTTTATGAATCTTTTTACGTCTGCACTTCAGCTAAATATTGGTCTCCCTCTAGAAGAGATTGATTTCTCGAAGAATATTATAGACGACAAAAAAGGTTTGTTTGACTTCTAATATGCATGTATCACAGTTCTCTAAAAATCATTAAATAGTTTAGATTCTTAGACAACTTACTGGATTGGAATTGTTGTTAAAACTTTTTTAAATACATTTTTTTTTTATTCGTATTTTCATAACGGTTTATAGGTTTTTTGGCTCTAAATGCATTGCTATCGAAGTTGTCTCATTTACGGTCTGTGACGTTGTCAGAATGTGGCATAACTGAAAAAACAGTAAATGTTATTGCTGCGGGACTTATGCAGGGTATTAAACCAAATGATGGCCTGAAAGAAGTGCAAATTAGCTGTCTTGATTTATCGGGAAATACAATCAGAGATGTAAGTTAGATCTTCAGATTTTTTAGTGCTGTAATAATAATATATTTACATGTGCTTTTGTTTAGGATGTCAATGATTTTTTACAATTTTTGTCGTTATGTGAAAGCTTACGGTCGTTAAATCTTTCCGACACCGGTTTCAACATCGACAAGTTATGGGGTACACTGCGCTTTGGTGGTTTACAACTAGAAACTTTAAAGTAGTTTATATCTGCTTGTCATTTATTGATCAGTTCGATGAAATTTATTATGTGTAGTGACGGAGGTCGTGTGCAAATTGTTCTTATAATTGTTTTATGGGAGCTTGCGTGGTTACACTATCTTTCTTGTAATAAGTGTAACTTTTTGTTCCAGATTAGCAGGTTGCCAATGTAACCGTCGCAATAAGGAAGGTATGCAAAATATGAAGGAGTATTTTGCTAGCGCTGTAGGTCTAAAATATATTGATTTTTCCAACACTGTTCTGGGGGCTGAAATGCTGAAGGTTTCTTTTGTTTTATTATTTTTATTTACTTATTTACTTTTTTTTTTTGCTGCTATTATAGATATCTATCATCTCGGATGCGATGAGTGATTTCTTTTCGTTTGCAGCACCTCCTCACCGGTCTAGCTACAAACCAACAATTGAAACCATTCAGGCTTGTTCTTGATGCAATGAATGAGAAGTAAGTTAAAGTTTGGCAAATGAATATACAGAAATTTTAAACGGCAAATTTTCAGAGGTTTTCTGCAAACTTTGGAGGCAGGCTTGAGTGATATAGATGCAAGCGGTATTTCTTTACGAGATGACGGGCTTGAAGCAAATGCTTTGGGAATATTAAATTCATGTTCTCTTATGCCTCATTTAGTACACCTCGACCTCAGTGGTGCCAACTTTACGAGTTTAAAAAGAAGCACGAAACATCAGGGAACTTTGACAAGCATTGTGTTAGCGCTCGTGAAATTATTTGGAGATGAGAACTCAGTAAGCACTTCAATAGCTTCAAAGAAGTCTCATACTGTAGTTCACCACTTACTGTTAAGGGAATTATTACTTTGGATATTTTTTAACTGAGCTTTTAACCTTGGAATAATTGCACTTCGATTTTAATGACTCGATTTGCAGAGGCTGAATGATCTCATTCTTTCCGATTGTCGTTTGGGTACTCACCTTAGTGTTTTGTTGAACACTCTTGGGGTTTCTTCCTCACTTCAATATCTCGATATATCCGGTAAGTCCTTTTCAGTTCTTAAAAAAATTGTTTTACACATCAGTTTCGTTACAGTTTTCGACTTTTTTTTTTGTGAGATTAGCTATCAATTTGTATAATTTTTGGTTTTTAGGTAACGAAATGGGGAACTTTGGGGCAAGGTTACTGGCTAAAGCTTTACAGGTCAATCTTTCCCTAAGGACTTTAGTAGTTGATCGTAACCAAGTAACTGGTGACGGATACGCTGATATAGCGCATGCTATGACATTGTAAGTTTTTTATTAATAAGATTTGTGAGAACTCCGTTATGGTTTGCATTAGGTGCATTATTTTAAATCAAAACTGTTATAAATAGCTTGTCGTTTTGCAGAAATACTACTCTAACAGCATTTCCATATCCCATAAACGATGCGTCTGAATCTCTAAGTCGAGCAGACCGTGGAAGAACTCTCAGCGCTCTGGCAGAAGTATTTTTTCAACCAACTTTTTCTAACAAGACTGGGAGTTCTGTTAAAAATACCTTAAAAGTGTTTTAGATTTTTAATGTATATTCAGTTACTTTGTTTTACTGATTCAGATCGAATCTCATGTGGGTAGAAATCGTACTGGTTGCGGGAAGGGAGAAGCGGGCTATCGTGCAATGTTAAACTCGTTACAGCAGGTATTACAGTGCACAAAATTTATACAGATATTAACGTTTAGACTTTTAATACAGTATTATTAGTTAAAAGTTATTTTTTTGCCTCTCTAAAAAAAGAAAAAACTTTTCAGAAGTATTTTCTAAATTCTAAGTGGAGCCAAAGTTTTAAGAATCGTTAACAATCTTCCTTCCAGATATGGAACTGTTGACGTTCATTTTCTTTCTTTTTTTTTTAATTGGTTTTTTGAATTTATTTGCCTGCAGGTTAGAGCATGTTTGATGACAGTTTAGTTCCTAACTAGAAACAAACTTTTTGGTCGTGAGTGACAAAGCGAAGTAAGTGTTCTGGGTTGTCGGACAATAAGTTGAACTTATCTGGGAGCTTGAAGGACGTTATAGCCGGCATAAAATCATTTTTTTAACCTCCTAATTTTGGAAGTTCTGGATAGACGCTATCAGTAATATTTAGGAGTTGTTCGGTCATGTCGACAGTCCTTGGAAAGTAATGGAACTAAGTTCCAAGTTTGCGGATATTGTCGATAGTCTTCCAACTATAGGGGATTCTACTGAACCACTCGACTCTCAAGTGGAGCAAGTGCTTAATGAGCTGGAGGGGAAGGCTATTACAGATGCAAAGGTAAATCTTTCGTGATAAAAAATTTTCTGATGAGAATTTGATATTGAACTTAGTGAGCAAATTTTTGGTTCTAACCCTCTCGCATACCTTCAGTTTCTTCCATTAGTTGTTGTGTTTTTAAAAAAGACTGACTGTTTCATGAGTTTCTTTTGTTTAAATTTTTTTATCAGAAATTTTGGGGAATAGGATAAATTTGCTGTTGTTATTTCCTCTACCGGTCATATTTCTCAGGCTGCCCTAACGTCAGTTGTAAATATTGCCGAGACCGAGAATATTGAATATAATTATCACTATCCAGAAGAAAATACTGGGTTGAGAGAAGCCGTTTTGAATTCTTTAGTTGATTATACAAGGTAATTTTTAGAGCTTTGCTGTTCTAGCCCAGAAACCGATCCCCTGCTTTTGTAGAAAACTGAGTTATGTTGTGGCGGTGACTTTATTAAACTTTGTTTTATGGTTAAAAGTGGTTTCAAATTGATACTTAATACTTTTATACTTTGAGAGGCCTCTTTGCGATATTGTTTTTGAACTTACTGTCACTATTTCAGTCATATCAAATGGAAAATTATTGGAGGAACTGTTGAACAAGTTTTGCTTGAGTTAAGAGCTCTAGATACAAGTGAAGATCGACAAATCACGGCTCGTGCACCTGTTTTTGGGGTAACGTCGGATTTGCTAGCTTCATTAACGCTTACCACACATGGGTATTTCTTGCTTCTTTCTGTGTTTAGGGTATTGCTCACCGTAATCTGCCTTTCACTTTGCTTTACAGTTCAAGTTTGAACCGATCTGAGGATGTGGGGGATACAAGAAGCGAATGTTCGGCAATGAAGGTAGATCTGGAGGCTCCTCCAGTGCCTTCTCAGCTGAGGCATCTTAGCAAAACACGTCCGAGACCGATGCGGATTACGAAGAATATGAAGGTCTATCAGTAGTTATTTTCTTTCTATGGCCTTCAGCTTGTTGGTTAAGTTAAATTTTTTGACTTATCTTTGTAGACAGTCGACCGCGAAGAAGTTAAAAGTTCGGGGAGTGTTACAAGCGAATTATCTTCCCGTGTCTCTGATTCATCCCAGCAAGAAGATAAATTACCTGTAGCAATGCCCCGTAGTACTTCTATTCACTCCTCCACTCCTCCTCTTCCTCCTCCTCCTATCGTGCCGCGTCGCAACAGGGTAGGACCTTTAGCAGTACCTCCAATTCTACCTCCGAAGCCAGATGCTTCAGGAAGGCGTTCAGCAAGTTCCAGTGAAACAAAAAGTCCGTAGATTTAGGGTTTTTGAATTAAATTATCTAAATTTTCTCTGCTGTATCTGGCTGTTACGAGTCAGAAATATAACGTCTTTTCTTATGTTGAAGATAATTTATTCTGTAAACCAATTTTCAAGTCATTTCAAGTTTTAATGATGTGAAAGAATATTTATATTATCCGCCCTGCTTTTCGTCGTCGTACCATTCGTTCCTTCAGTAAGTAATGAACCTTCCTTATACCACAGCGCCCCTTATAGTGGGATTCGTGCAGTTTAGAGGCCAATTTTGACAACTATCTTAGTAGTCTCTATTTTTGTGCTATTTTCGACGGTGGCTTTTACATTTTTCGGTTCATTGCAGTTTTACACCTGCTTGTTCAAAGTTTCCTTTATTTTTTAACACTTTTTATGTAAATTCCCGGAGCTACGGGTGGAACGTTTTGCCTTTTTTCTGTCACCTTCTCGACTATGAAGTCGTTTCCTGCCTTCTGTCGTTGTGCTGTGCATTCATTTTTTTTACTAATGGTAAATTCGACTTCAATTTATTCATTGCTATGGGCTTGCAGGTTACGTAGACCTTTTATGTTGTTTTAATATAATTAATGGAGCGAAGTTGAAACTTTCGTGTTTTTCTATATTTTATTGATTTATTTCGCATGAAGAGTTTAATTCTTAGTAGTTTTAGTTGGTCAAAATGTAAAGCCGTTTTTTGAAAATTTGTGTGTAACGTTCGAGTTTTGTTCTATGATTTATGTCACATTTCACAAAAGAGGATTTGTTAAGGCTTTTTTTGGTATTTGATAATGTTTTATTTGAACAGAGGTTTCCTCGAGAGTTTTTAAATGCAGATCTGTCTTAAATTTTCCATAAATGAATACAAGGTGGTCTTGTATTTTTTTTAGATTGGAAGAATTTCTTCAGTTTAATGAAGACAGTTGGAGTCACTGTCTTTAATGTTTTTGAAACTCGTTTATACTGTTATGTTAGTTATGCTTTAATTACTGCTGGAGTCAAATGCTTTACAGATTTGCATTGCCTGACTGTAATAGACATAAAATTTAGAAGTTTATGGCAATCCAACCGTGATCATAATAAACATTTTTTAATTTGAGACTGCGTTGCACTAGGTGATAGACTGGATTTTTTCGGGTGGCTTCGTAGAATTATGAAGATGATTTCCGCCGAAGTTGCCTTGTCATCATCGAACATGTTGTGATGTGTGAATTATGAAAGGTCTGATTAATGTTGTTCATTGCGTTGCTACAGTAAGCTCTATGGTAACACCAGGAAGAAAATGTATGTGTACTAGTTGCCACTTTCAAGAGGTTCATTTGGACTGGTCGCGAGTGAGTCAAATTTTCTAATTGACTGGAAGAACTGAACTGTTCGTATCATTTTTTACGTGTATTGCAAGGGCTTTTATCAGGGGTTGGGATTCTGAAACACCAGTGCAGACTTTATTTTGTGATTCTATTTGATCTTATGTGGGTATAATATATTTGTTGAATCTGGGTTTCTTAGGTGACAGATCAACCCACTTATAACTATATTTTTTTATAGGAAATTTTTTATAGTGTGGTAGAGCTATCATTAATTTTTTTTTTTAGATTTGGCTGCTAGTACATACAGATTAACTCCACTGCAGAATTTAACTCAGACAGCAGTTCCTTTTTACCGATTTTGCCAAATTCTGATGTGATCTCTATGCTAATCTTTGAGGACAGTTTTAGAGGTTATAAAGTCCGGATTTTCTTCCCCTTTTGAAAGCGCATTTTGTGATTTCATTTAGCGTTTTTCCCCTGGACTTTTGGTTTCCTAGTCTTCAGTTGTTCCAGTGGAATTTTTTTTTTTCGACAGAAAACATTGCTGACAAATATACCTTAATTTTGAAGTGTTTACTTTTCCTACATTGTTCTGATATGCTTGTTGTGTGTTTATGTTATGGAGAGTTCATTTTTTATATCACTAAGTGAAGTAGGGTAGGTAGTATTATCAGAGATGTTTTTACCTCGATATTTTTGTTTGTAAGACAAAAACGACTATGTCGGTAACATATTACAGACGTTATGCTGCGTTTGCAGAAAATTATACAACATCTGAAATTATAGTTTCAAGGATGTTTATAGCATTTCTGTCTATTTTGTCTTGATGCGTTTGTTCTAAAAAAAAAAAAATTGGCATAAATTTTTATATTATTTGTTTTATACCTATGATTATATAACTGTTGATTTAAAAAAAAAGGAAACGAATAAAGAATGATAAAAAATTGCTAGCTGTTTTCATCATATTTAAGACTAAACTTTGTTAGAGACAAGGACAACTTTAAAGGTAGCGTTCTGATTTTATCTACAGAAACGGCAAAGTAAGGTGGAAATTACTGTTTTGTGGTTCACTGTTGAATCTGTTGTCATTTAAAACCTTATTTCTAATTGTATTTCTGTTACGAATCAATAAATAGCTGTACAAAAGGAAGAGTCGAAAGCAGTCGTGCTTAATAACAACTACTTTGTTTGATAAGAATTCAGCATTCACGCTGCATTGGTATCAATACGCAAGTTTATATACATATTATACATATATATATATAT